ATATTTGCAATAGAAAATTCGTTGAAAATTTTAGTTCGCCTGAAGCTCAGAAGCATTTCTTATGGTTGTCTTATTTTCGAAGGCAAGGTCATGATGAGGAGAATGCAATAAAGGGATTGAAAGCTGAGGAAAATATACAATGGGAAATTGTCTGCTATAAAGCTAAAGAGAATCTGGAAAAATCAGTGGCAGAAAACTTGCGTAAATCTTATTCAGCAAAGCATTGGGAAGTTATACAAGAACTTTTTCAAATATTAGGCTTTACTGGCATTGATGACAAGCGTACTCTTTCTAACGATACTACATCAGAATCATTTATGCGATCTTGTGAAAAGTTTATAGAAATTTGAAACCAATCTTTATTACTCTTTGATTTTAAGTCTTATGTAAAGGAAATACCAGATCTTCATTCGGCTATAAAAACAATTAATGTAATTGCTGACAATTGGTGTGGGTATTACATTGAAAGTGATAAAAAAAGAATAGGGCCTAAAGGATAACAAGTTAGGCAATACTCATACCAAATTAATCGTCGACCATATAACGGTACTGGTTTCGGAGATAAAGATGCACCAGAACTTCCACTATATAGATCAAAAACAGATAATGAGATTCAGGAACTCTTTGATTCTATAGGGCAGGACAAATAATATTTCAGTCCAGATCATTGTCTAGCTAAGTCTTGATCATATTAGATTCTATTTTAGTTTTTTTACTTTTGCGTCAGGCACGGTCATAAAATCTGCTATGCGTGTTACAGATTCTAGTATCAGAATAGATTAGCTCTTTACAGATAAGGCATATTGTTTTAAGATGCGCATTAAAATGTCTGGAACACTCTAAATCACTCATGCATCCTTTCCCACATATCGAACCATCTCTCTTGATGTATTAGCAGATAAAACAACCTATACGAGGTAATTTTAATATTAATAATCTTAAAACTTCGCTTTCACTTTTATTATAAATATTCAAAATTCCTTTGCTTTAGCGAGTAAGCTTAGTAACTGCGTCTTCGGCCAAAGTTACAAAACCTACTCACTCTTTTTGTGACTCTCTAGCCAGTTTTTCTTATACATCATACGAAAGCTAGTCTGAGAATGGATTAGCCCATTACAGGATGCACACATTTTATTTGGTGGAAACTTATAGTGTCTGACATACCCGTCCTCGTGAAAGTATCTTTTTCTGCAGATAGACCCATCATCTTTCTTATTTAGGCAAGGACAAGTTGGGTAATTCTCGTCCTTCAAATCAGATATGTATTTACCAAAGGGCATAGTACTTCTTTCTGGAAAAGTTTTTAAGATTAATATACATTAAACTTATCTTTATTATAGATATTTAAAAATGTGTTATTCCAGTCTAGCATAAGCTATATCATTTTTTTTTCGCTCCTTTAATCTAATCAAAAGCCGTCTCTGATATTTTTCCTTTCTGAAGAAGCATGGTTTTGAAGAAATTTTTCGAATTAAACTTTTCTATACGTAATATAAAATTAGTACATTTTAATAGTCTTGACTATACTGTCATAAAAACAATATGGCAAAAGTAGCTACAGATTTTATGAAACACCATAAATGGACCTTCAAAACTCCATCATCCGAACTAGCTCAATACACAGAGGAAATTAGCAAAAGTTTAAAGGATAATCACAAGGTAAGATCTAATGCCAAAACGCGCTTTCAGATATTAGGGCTTACTAAGGAACAGGTAGAAGTTCTCATTCCTATTTAGCCTACTGGAAAGCGTGAAAAAGGCAGGGATACTGTTAATAAAATTGCTCAAGAAATTGTGGAAAATGATTATCAGTCTGAGAAAATAAAACAAATTTCATATGATTTGAGTAGTTCCGTACCTAATCCAGTCGCAGGGGGTTCTTGACTTACTTTATTGTGAAAAAAGTTACAGAATCGTGAAGCTAATCATCTCAAAAAAGAAGCAACGAAAATTCCTCATATTACTACTGAATCGAATAAAATTCAGGCACGATGGCTTGTACTTGACAAATTTGAAGGTGTCGATTGGCCTGAATACTTCTTCTTAGAACTGGTTTAGGAAAGACTCGAGAAATGTGATTTTTCCTTATCGCCTTCTAAGGAAAATTTGGTTGACGTAATGATAATATTATGCATGCGACCGGCAGATGTTGTTGGTCTTTGTATTGATAGATATGAAGCATCAGACGAGATCTGGTATGATCCTGACTATTCCTGATATTGTACTGGTTACTCTAAAACTAAAGAAACAGGAGTAGGGGAACCCCGGCCTTTTCTCTTAATGGAAAAAGATCCAATATGAGCAAAAGAGTTTCTTACTTGGATCCAGAAAGCAATACCAGAAAAATTTCCCTTCTTACGAAAAAACAAAAACGATATAGTTAATGTAAATCCAATTAATCTAACTCTAGCTAAACATGGAATTACTTCGAATAAATTGAGAAAGATAGGAGCAGATCATGCTAGCAGGATCTATGGAGGTAGAAACGATTCTCACCGCTAATATTTACGAAAGTTGGCTTGCAGACAAGTAGTAGATCGTCATGAATCAGTAGAAAGATATGGCGTAATGAATGACTCACCTTCTTGCAATTATTCGAAGGCATCCTAGAAGAACCAGGTAAAGATAAAAGAAAAAGTGGATTAACCCTAATAATGATTTGTATATGTCTGTCTAATCAGGTAAAGATATTCAAGCTCTTCGATAAAAACTAATCACATAGTGGGATAGACATTATTTTATTTTTTCACTTGAGGCAAAATCTAGCATATATAAAATATCGCAAAAATGGTAGCTGATCAAAATTATTCACCTGATAGTATACATAGCGAGTAGGAAGTTATCAGGTGTACAGAAAATATAGCCAAGTTATTAGGGTTAGATGAGCAAAATACAGAAGCATATAAAGCACTCTCTAGACAGATTTGGGGGCTCAAGAAATAATTAGAAAATTATCATTTCGAATATATAAAGCTTAAAAGGAGGGTCAATTCATTGGAAGCTGAAATAGAAAATCTGGATGAATGTGCAAATATGAAGACTGTGGTCAACTTAATACATGAAATAGTTCCCTCAATAATTGCTAAAAAAGAGCTGAAAGGCGCTGTGTATAAGGGTTCCTCCTATTTGTCTGAGTCTTCCGAAGAATCTGATTCGGTCAAAACAATTATGATAAGAGAAAATGAGGCTATCCCTTATAAGCAACGAAGGAAGACACGACCAAAAAAGGTTAAACGGTTGGTAGTTTAAAATGAGCCTCGTCAGCTCAAAAAATTTATCCGAATTCATCCATTCTTACCGCCCAAGTGGTAATGAGTAATACCCGCCTATTTCGAGATCAGAAAATAATATGTCTATTATTTTTTGACTAATTCTACGACAACCTTTCAGGCTAAGATATTCTAGACTATGTAAATACTCTGTGATAATTTTAAGGGTTCTATCGAAAATAAAGTCAGCGTATCCAAGATCAAGATATATGACATTAGGACACATTTTTGCAATTTTGGAAATTGATGAATCAGATATATGCAGAGCTCCAAAAAGGTCTAGTTCTATAATGTTGCAAAATTGAAGATTAAGATATTAGATATCTGGACATGATCGCGCAATAATGCACATTGATTTATCACTAAGAGCCTTTATACTATAGAGTTCGAGATGTTTCAAATAACGACAATGTGCAACTTTTCTGATAGCTATATCATTTATTCCATCACAATACTCGAGTTTTAAACTTCTCAGATTTGGACATGAATCTGTAAGGGTATAAATAGCAGTATTGGTAAGTCTACTAGAAGAACGAATATCTATGGATTGGAGGTTAGGATGGGGTCGTGCAATATCATGTACAATTCTATCAGTGACATGATTCCGATACCCACTAATTCCTAGATATTTTAACCCATTGCATGACCGTACTATTTCACAGAATGATTTACTGATAATATCTTCGCCAAAACCAATATCTAAAAACTGCAATTTATCACATTTCTTTGTGATTTTAGTGATAGAATGATCGGTTAAGCTCCTATTGTTAGAAACGTTAAGATGGATCAGGTTGGGATATACTTGAAAAATCTTGATTAAGGCCGTATCATTAAAACCTGTACTTCGCTCAAAATCTAAATGGATTATGTTTGGGAATACTTCGACTATTTTTTCGATTATCTCATTCGAAAGATAAGAATGGTATGTAATTATGAGGCACTGCACACTATATCTAAAAATCAGTCTAGAGTTTATATGTATCATTTTTATAAACTTTTCCTGTTGTTTCTCATCAATCAATTCGATACAACCCATAAAATTGGACCAGTGCATCTAGACCAAAGTCTAGAGACCAGAAAGTTAGTTATAGTGCGTTATCTTTAGCTAAGAAATTTAAAATATTCTTTAGGAATTCAGGAAGAGCAAGCGCCATATTTTTTATCAAGATATACTTACTTCAATAATTTCTTATTATGCGTTTCCAAAACTTGGTTATTACATCAAGTCTAACATCTTCGAGTCTGAACTGGAGATTACCAAATCAGAAGATTTTTCGTTTGAATATAAAGTATATAATATACATTATTTATGGCGCAATCAAGCCTTATTTATTTGCCAGAACTATTAGAACGGATTTTATATTTCTTAGCAATAGATAAGTCATTATATCTCACTCTATTTGTTTCCCGATTATAGTACAGATGCGGTGTTTCTATTCTATGAAGATATGTAGAGCTAAAAAAGAGTAACATATGAAAAATTTTTATAAAAATAATATATGGAGAGCAAAAGCCAGTTTATTGCTTAAATGTAACCTATCTAGAAATTTCAAATTACTATCGACTTTCAGATAAAGAATTTGAAGGCATTGCGGACCTGTTCCCAAATATAATTCATTTAAATTTATATAATAGTGTGGGATTCAGTGATAAAACATTAAATCGAATAGCAAAATCATACCACAATCTGAAGTATCTTAACTTGGGAAGGCATAGTGATGGATTAATAATTGATAAAGGTTTATATGTAGTCGCAAATTCATGCCATAAATTAGAATATCTGAGTATTTCTTCTCGCAAAGAATTTTTTAAAATAGCGATTTGAAATGTTATTCATTCTTATCCGAAGATCCAACAGCTTGATATTTACGGATGTAAAATTACCTATAAAACTTTTGAGGAAATTGGATTATATCTTAAATTAAAATATTTAAATCTGGGTACCGCCACCCGATATTTGGAAAAAAATTGGCTGGGGTCAGATAGTGTTAGAAAAGATCGGCTGGATGTAGTTTCCCTGCCAGCTAGTCTGAACACTGATCGTGTAATTTTATTGTTTGTTTAAAGATATAACATATAATATGCACTATGTATGGCGCAATTAAGCATCTTTTATTTACCAGAACTATTAGAACAGATTTTATATTTCTTGGTGATAGATAAATCCCTCTATTCCACTCTATTTGTTTGCTGATTGTGATACAGGTGTGTCATTCCTAGCCTATGGAAACATGTTGAGCTAAAGGGAAAAGGTAGGAAAAATTACTGGCGACTGAATCGATCCCAATTGGAAAAATTTATAAAAATAATGCATAAAAGGCAAAATCCAGTTTATAGTTCAAGTATAATACATCTTAAAATTTCATACTATCATTTACTTTTGGATAAAAAAATCAAAGACATTGTGAGTTCATGTTCAAATATAATCCATTTGAATTTTAAAAGAAGTACAGGTTTTTCTGATAAAGCGCTAATTCTGATAGCAGGGGTATACCCAAATCTGAAGTATCTCAATTTATGTGATTATGCAGATGCTTATGGCACCCTTTATCAAAGATTTACTAATAAGGGTCTACTTGTGATATCGAGCTCATGCTATAAATTAGAATATCTTAATATTTATCTACACACAGGAATTACTGAATTAACCATTTACGATATTATTCGTTCCTGCCCAGGACTCCAATATCTCGACCTTAGCTATTGCGAAGTTACCAATCTGGTTATTAAGGAAATTGCTCATTCTTGTCTCAATTTAAAATACCTTAATCTGAAAGGGTGTGATAATGTTAGCAGAGAAGCCATAGATCAACTTGTTTTACTTAAACCAAATATCCATGTTGAGAATTTCATAAATACTGTAATGCCAGCCCTATTTGATGCATATTCTGTGATATATGCACTTTCAAGAAGATTGGGAATGCCAGTTGATGCACCAAGGGATGCTACATCCTTACATAATTATATTAATGACGAATTAATGAGGAGAATGACATTATTAGAGTAAGCGTTAGGGTTTCGCAAATAATCTGATCCAGAGCAGTGATCGTGTAATTTTGCAAAGCGTTTAGCAGAACGCCTTAAGGCTGATGGCTATTTTTTCGATTAAAGATACAGCATATATTTTTTATGGTGCATCTGGGTGTTATAAATTTACCAAAACTATTAGAGCAGACTCTATATTTTCTAGCAGTAGATAAATTCCTTTATCCTACCCTATTTGTTTCTCGATTATGATACAGATGCGATACTCCTATTTTATGGAAACGCATCGAGCTAAAGTGGGAAAATAAATGTCACTCTCCATTAAAAAAATTCATGAAAATAGTACGAAAAAGACAAAAGCCAGTTTATAGCTCAAATCTAACTCATCTAGAAATTTCAAACTACCATCCACTTTCAGATAAAAAATTCAATGGTATTGCGCGTTTATTCCCAAATATAGTCCATTTAGATTTAAATTTTAGCACAGGATTTAGCGATAAAACACTAAATCGAGTAGCAGAGACATACCTCAATCTGAAGTATCTCAATTTGCAAAAGAGTAGGTACAAATGCTCTAATGGTGCGAAAGTGACTGATAAAGGTCTATGTGCAATTGCACAATCATGTCATAAACTAGAATATCTAAATATTTCTTGTCATACAGAGATTATTGGAATATCGATTTGTGATATTATCCATTCTTGCTCAAGGCTTCAACATCTTGAATTTAGCTATTGCAAATTTACTGATGAGATTATCAAAGAAATTGCTAGTTCGTGTCTTAATTTAAAGTATCTCAAATTGGAAGGGTGTGATAATATTAGCAAAGAAGCCATAGGTCAGCTCGTTTCATTTAATCTAAATATTTATGTTGAGAATTTTGTGTATACTATAATACCAGCCTCTCTTTGTAAATATCCCAGGATGTATGAACTGTCAAGGAGACTGAGAATGTCAGTTGATGCATCAAGAGATATTAAGTCTATACATGATTATGTTAATAATGAACTAATAAGGAATGGATATTGTTAGAGTAAGCATTAGGATTCCGCAAATGATCACACCCGTTGAATTCATAGTTCTTGGACTGGATTGGCCTGATTATTTTCCTGACTTAGTATTAGGAATGCTATGGTTTCAAGAAAATGGTGCAACTTTGGATATATGCAATTCAAAACTATTATTAGATGATAATTTTGTGATCCTATTCAAAGAAGTAAAATATGAACCTAATGCAGAATAACGATTATCTGAAGCAGTGATCATCAATATGCATAATTTTATTTTTTTGTTAAAGATACAGCATATATTTATTATGGCGCATTTAAGCATTTTTATTATACTAGAACTAAAGAACAGATTTTACATTTTTTAGCGATAGATAAGTCACTATATCTCGCTCTATTTGTTTGTCGGCTTTGGTACAGGTGCGGTACTCCTATTCTATGGGAATGTATCGAGTTAAAGGGAAACGAAGTAGAGGGTAAATCTCGATTAGAAAGATTTTTAAAAATAGTACACAGGGGAGGACAAAAACCAGTTTATAGCTCGAAATTAACTCATCTTAAAATATCATATTACCATTCAATTTCAAATAAAAAAATTAAAGGCATTGTACACACATTCCCAAATATAATTCATTTAGACTTTGAAAAAAGTATAGATCCTACTGGTGAAGCTCTAAAGCTAATGGTGAAATCATACCCAAATTTGAAGTATATCAATATATCCGCTTTATACAATAGATTTTGACCAAAAAATGATATAGATCTAACTGCAATCGCAAATTCATGCCACAAACTAGAATATCTAAATATTTCTAATCGCACAGAGTTTTCTGAAATATCAATTTGTAATGTTATTTGTTCTTGCCTAAGGTTCCAGCATCTTGACCTCAGCTTTTGTGAAATTAGCGATATAACTATTGAGAAAATTGCTAGATCATGTCCTAATTTGAAATATCTTGATCTAAAGGGATGTTATAGTATTAGTAAAGAAGCCATAGATCAGCTCGTTTCACTTAATCCAAATATCCATATTGATAATTTTGTGACGCCTCCTGATTTCATTGGAATAGTTAGTAATCATCTTACACTTGCTAGTTTAGCTCAGATGTGCCGATGACATAGAGCTGATGAAAGAATACTAGCCCCAGAATGGGTATCCACTCTGCCTATCTAACTAATCTGGATCAGTGATCGACTTGAAAGATGGTGATTAGCAAAAAGGCTTATTGTTGGTAAAGGCGAAAAAATCATGAATCAGTTTTATGATTATATCTTAGATGTCAGTCTTAAGGAAAGAAATCATTTTTACGCAATCTTCAGTGGAATTCACTCCAGGGGGTTTAAAATTTCATATGTGAAGATAATTTTTTACTTCTATATTTATATCGCGTGGAACAAACTCAGTAATGGCATAATTAGTATCTAATTCTGGGTTTGTCAGTTGATAATTAATTTTCTCTTTAAGCCCATACATTTTTATCATCAAACTGAATCTTTCAGCCATACCTCTCATATCCCGTTCCAATTCCACAATTAACTTTTGATAATGTTCATCTTTAATCTTGTCTTCACAGTATTGTACAATATTTTTGAGATTCGCATAAGTTAACCATAAATACTGTACTAAATTGACTAGTGTTATCTGAAGATCATTAAGTTCTTTTTCTGGCCTCATGTCAAGTACTGAATCCCGCTTTATCTTAATTTTTGGATTAAGTTTACTCAATGCATCTTTACTAACATTTGTCAACTGTATGCCAAGAAATTTCAAATTAGAACAATGTTACGTAATTTCATTAATGACTATATCAGTAACTAGACAGCAACACCTGATATCAAGATATCTTAAATTTTTACACGAATGTACAATATTACAGATAGTTGTGTCAGAAGCATCAGAAGCACTAATATCAAGATGTTCGAGTTTCGGGCAATAGTTAGCAATATTACAAATAGATGAATCAGTAATAAATCTACACTGATCAAGTTCAAGGTATTCTAAATTATGAATATGTTGCAACAATCTATTAACTGAAACGTCTGTAATATTATGACAACCTTTTAAAGAGAGATAGCGAAGATTAGGACATGAGTGAGCTATTGCAACTATCGTCTGATCAGAAATTGGCTTACACCATTTTAATCCACCAATGCATAAAAGTTCTAATTTAGAACATGCTTCTACTATTTTATAAACGAAATCATCAGTGATATTTCCACAGAAACCAATATCAAAGTGGCGTATTTTTTGGCACGATTTTGCAATTTTATATATGGAGTGGCAAGTTATATCTTGGTTATCACAGACATTGAGAGATTCTAAGTTGAGATAAGATCGAGCAATTTCTATAAGTGATGCATCAGTAAAACTTTTACTTTGTTTAAAATTTAAACTGGTTATATTTGGGTATGAGCGTAGAACACAGAGAATTTTATTATCCGAAAGTCTAGAATAATGCGTAATTTTGAGACTTCTTAGGCTTAAAGTATAAGATGTTTTCTGTTTATTACATGCCGACTCTAAAAAATTTTCTAAAAGGGTAATATTCTCACCGGAGACGAATAGTTCGTGGTCATAATCTGATGCCCTATCTCCTACAAACTCGAGGTGTGTAACTTCTTCATTGCTAGTGTCAATCTCGTTTTCTTTTATTTCAGATGTCATTTTTGTCGGTTATAATAATATATATATATTCAAAATGGAAAAATAATTTCTCGTAAGAATCACCGCAGTTGCGCAGGAACTACATCATCTATACTTCTCTGCAGTAACTAAGGTGCTTTGCATGATCGATCATCAGCTCGGAAAATTTTGCTGGGCCACACACATGTACTCTTGTGCGATAAAAATAGGCGATCACTAGACAGGGTTTGTGTAATATTAATCTTGCATATACATTCAAAAAGAAAACATATTAACCTTTATTCTTTATTTTTCCCAAACAAATATGAGAAAAATATGAAAGAGCGTCTAGTTGCAACACAGGACTTACCTTACAAGTAAATAGTGCCGATAAAAGTATATATTATGAAAGGCTGAGAGACTTGTAATTCTGAGATCGCCAGGCGTAAAACCAACTATATGTTTTTTCAGTAGATCTTCATGTAAAAAAGGTATAAGATTCCATTTGCATGTGCTTTCATAGAGCTCTTGGCATCAGACGACAATGCTAATAATGTCTCATACCTCCTTAACTTTTTCCTAGTAAGATATAAAGCATATAATAGTATGTGGAAGTTCAGCCAACTTTCCGCAAAAAAGATTCCCATAAAAAATAACGCAAAATAAGGTATATATAGTATATGTTTTTTAATGCGAGTGGGTCAAGCAATTTTCTTACTATGGATTCTTGCATTTAGGAGTTGAAATGAATAATAATAACATTACTCTCAATTGTCTTATCGTTCTTATAGAAAAACTTATGAATATTTCATGCATTAAAGTAATGCAATCGATTACAATTCGCAGAAGTGGTAATTATAGTGATCTTGAGACTGCAATTCAAAGCAGATTAGGGACACCATTTAATCAAATCCCTCTCAAAATTTGTATAATTCAAGCTGGAAGCACTATTGAAGAGGAAATGGCTATGAATGAGAATTTTATCAATATTTTTGATAAGAAACCTAAAGCAGAGCACTTCCATTTCACTGTATACCCCAAATAATTTTCTGTATCATGTAGCGATATATTCACAATTTTTATGTAATGTAGGCTGGCTTGGTCCCTCTGGAACCCTTCCAGCAAGGTTTTTTTTATTTTTTAAATAAAGCATATATTATGTTCTTGTTGTAAATCTTGAAAAATGTCACGTGTAATGATGTAATATAATCGTCTGATAATTCTGTACTACATCTTAATTGCATATATATTGGGCAAATGCATTATGAATCAATACAAAAAAATCTATCATTTCTACTCGAGCGTCAAAACCAAAAATACTTTTATATTCATAAACCAGCTTTACCTGTATCAAGTGCATATTTCTTCGCAAGCACAAATACACATATATAAAAACTATGTCTTCACAAGCTTCTTCACCCGCTTCACCCACCTCAATAACGGAAGAAATTTCTTCTCAAACAATGTCGGACGTGGTTAAGGATTTTAATACAGAGGAGCTTATTAAATATTTGAAGAAGAAAAACTTGAAGTTAGAGGAGTCCCACTTCAAAATTTTACGTAAGGAAGAAATAGCTGGTAGTGATTTTCTTAATACAAGTAAAAAGGAATTTCAAAGTTATGGCATGAAAGCTGGTCTTGCAAAAAGACTTGCAGAATTTATTGAGAGTCTCGACCAGAAATTATGAAACTATTCCTCACTTAAAACTCTTGATGACTTGAAGGAAATGTTACGTAGAAATAAGATCAACAGGGAAGATATAACAAGCATTAAGCAATTTACTCCCGGTGAGTGATTATTTTTATTTTATATCGCTCTAGAATGGCCTATCATAAATATAGTAATAACTGCTTATTTTTTCTCCACAGTCTTTGAGGAGATTAATGACGATGATAAGGCTCTCGATCACTGTATGAAGGATATAATCTTGAAACTTTCAAATGTGAAAACTATGACTGACGCCAACGAGGCGACGTGCTGTGAATTTATTTCATCGATTCTCTATGCATCCATCGCTATAGCTAAAAAACTTACCTCTCAAGATATATTTATAGTGTTTCAAAAGGATGTTTCCGGTGAGAACGCAACAGGCCAAGTAGACTATGCAATCAAAAGTCTGAAAGACCTCCTCTGCATTACTAAAGGGAAACCACGAAATATTAAGATTGGATATGCGCAGGTAGGTCTACTATCTACATTTTCACTTTCTAACATATTAGAGATATTAATGATGGTTTATTTTTTAGAATCTGGCGCAACTTAAAAGTGCGTTCCAAATAAATAAGAAAAAACAAACCGCGGATCAAACGTTTGGGAATGACTATTTTGACTATATCTATGGTATTGTGACCACAGGTACGGAGTGGCATTTTATCATATATACTCCAGATAGCATCTTCTCCACAAGTGGTAGCGAGCATCAGATTAATCTTATGAAGTCCGCGGTTAAAGATAATCCTAAATTACTACGAAGTAACGTAAAAAGAATAATTGGTATTATTGTTGGATTGCTGAAGGATCGTGTTAGTGTAGATACTTCTCCGGCTAGCAAGAGGCTAGGATCAAAAAGTTTATCAAAAAATAATATGTATCACAGGTAAAGTCCCGAACATTTGTATTTATTTTTGCATGTATTAATAAAAATTTTCTTGGCATTTTTCTGAGACCGCGCGGTCCCGAAAATCTGGTGACTTTATAACCTATTTCTCAATAACACAGTTTCTATATAATTAATATATACTAACTATTTTTGAATATTTCACTTCTTATATAAAATTTATCAATAATGACATCTGAGCTTGAAGTATTGAAACAGCGTATCGTTGAACTTGAGGCTAAGAATGCCGAGCTTGAGACCAAAAAAGCTGAACTTTTAAAGCGGATTATGGAGGAGAATACTAGACGAGATGTTAGAGTTGAGGAACTGAAGCAAAAAAATAAGGAGCTTAAGACCAGACTTGCGATAGTAGAACAGGCTTCCTTACCAGTAGAAGAGCAGACGTATAATGATAATCCCTCTGATAATAATACATCTAACTTTAATTCAGTTACAGAGTATCATGAGAAACTATTGGTGGATGTGGAAACAGATAATTCCTTTCCTGAAGAGATTTGCTATAATAAACAAGAACTGGTGGTGACAGTACCTGCCAACTCTGCGAAGCGCCTTAATGGCAAACTGTTGGAAGAGAAAGATATAGATAGTTTCTTACTTGAGGCTCATAAGAAAATAGTTAGTAGTAAAATAAAGCGATGCAATAAGAAAAAGAAGAATGAAAAAAATGGGCAGGGATTGATTCAAGAAATCTCTTCATCTGTATCCAAAGAAAATCATGTGACTAAAATTTCTGAGACCGCACAGTCTCAGAAATCTGATAATTCAGATGCATTAGTGTCTTCATTTCATGGGACTACTATAATAGAGATATCTTAACATTTGGCCCAGTTATGTGATAAAGCGCTTATTGTAGAAGAGCACAGATTGGAAGCAAATCAAGAAGAAATATTATGCTGGTACCACTATGGAAGAAATTTCATATTTCAGTTGGAGGCCTTGTGTGATAATAATAAAATTGGTAAAAAGAAGGCAAGAGGTTTAATATACAATGAAGTCGTGAAGCAAGTTAATATCCTTCGTAAGAAAAGATCTCAAAATACAGGGATACCACTCCCAGACATAATAAGAGATGGTTTACGCAAAAAAACTCAGAGAGCTGAGAAGATCTACAAGCTTCTCAAAAAAATAGGATTGGATAAAATCTAGTATATCAAGTTGTATAATGCGAATAAAATATCAAAGTTTACTAATAATGAAATCCAAAAGATTATAGATCATTTTTCAAATAAGCCCAGTACAGATTTCAGTGAGGATCAGGACAATTTTATTAACAATGATTCTTCTAGTCAAACTGATACATCAGAGATGCGAGCAAATCCCTTGGTTTCAGCAGAGGTAAGCGAATCAACAGCATCTATCCCTTTAACCCATGACTCTAATTCTTCTGATGATTTTAAAGAAGTCAGCCCAAGCAATTCGCTCGAAGCTGAGGATGATTACTACAAAATGCTCTTAGAAGATTATGCGAAGGATTGTGTGTATTTTGATTCTGCACCAGTGAAAGAAACGAATGAAGAAGTTGTTTTGCAATCAGTTAAGACAGATTATGATAGTAACTGTAATTACGACAGTTATGTTTGCTTAAAGCAAATGATGCCAAAAGATTCAGATGATGATAGATATAATGATTACAGTAGATATAATGAATACGGTGAACGTGATAGAGGTTATTACTACCGTGATGGAGGATATGAAAGAAAACCTTCCTAATGATGAGCCCTATTATCTCTCCAGTAACCGCCTGCTGAAAGCGCTAAAGGCAGAAGAATTATCAAGTGAAATCATATACTCGCATAGACTGAATTATCGTATCTTTTTTTTCGAATCACGTGGGTAGCTTAGATAGCATGCAAACGTCATTTATATTTTCTTTTGACGCCCGCAGTAAAACATCACTACCTCATTTGGTTCATGTGAATTATATCCGCAGAATATGCTAGGCGCAGTAGTACGTCACCAGCATCTTTAAAGGATCAGTCTATTAATAAACTCAGCCAAGAGAATTATTTTTGTGTTGCTATACTGATGAACTTTCCCTAATGTTCTGGTATGTACTATCTCACTCATTACGCAGTTCTGAATTACTAATATCCCCGCTGATCATAAGACAGGGCATCGTAAAAAAGAATCAAAATGGATTAGAATCAATGATTTACAGATCCTCGAAAGCTCATCCAAATTACGTGTAATATGTTATGCAATGAACGATTATTCCGATATTTTTCTTTTTTTAATATAATCAATTAGAAAGGGGAATGAGAACAATTAAACTTCCTATTCTGGGGTACTGAAAATAAATGGTAAATTTTGAAATACAGTGTTACTCTATTAGTATTAAATTATTTGTCATAAAACTGCTATTCACAAGCGGATTTTCATTTAAGCACTATTGTTAAATGCGCATTTTACACATATTACAAATCTTTGAATTAGCATTATGCAAGTCAATCTGATATCCCTGATGTTGAATGAGACAAGAATGGAAATTGCGCCTCTTAATCTACCGATTTACAGATCTTGATCCTATGAAATGTAAGGATATGTCTCTGGCCACATTCTACATAATAAAACAAATTTCTATTTATGGGTCATTAGTAGATTTGTATAGAGCACGAATAAGGGCCACCTTTTTTCTCATTAATTTGAAAAAAGAAATACTAGCGGGGTAAGCTATCTCTCGCAGATCGACAGATGAACTTACGCGATCTTATCAATAAACAGCAAATTCCTCAGTACTTTATTAGTATTTATAATACCGATTTCACACTGTTAATGCGTCATGTATTATTATTTCAACAATCAGGCATCTACGAGTAACATAATTATGAAAAGTATAGTTATGACAAATACACATAATAAAGCAACATAATTTTATTAAATCAGGTTAAATTCTCTTTTCACGCATAGTAAGGCATTTTGCTGATCGTGTTATTAGAATGAAATGAAAATGGATATATTACTATTATGATTTTTTAGCAGTTTTATCAGCCCACAAATAAGCAGTATACTATATTTGAGAAAGGGCTAGAGCATTATTATAAATCATTCACATAATCAAGAATTGCATCTTCTTTTTTTCTCATCTAGATTAATCCGCTTATCAATGATCATGGGTTATCAGAAAATTTGCGCCAATGCTTCTGATAATTTTATTCCTAAAATGGCTAATTTTCGCAAAAATATTCATGTGGATCTGTCTGATATTTTTATAAATACCCTGCCTATTTCTCTTTCATTTTGATCTACATTATAGGGTAAATGTTGAAGGACTTCGAATTGAACTGCGTCACAAACGAATAGAACTCCCGTCTTCTTATATGTTCGAAGCAAGAAAAAAAAAATATCAAATTTCTCTTGTGAACGGCGTCTCATATACAGATATTTAGTTCTTCCTTCAGTCTTTTTTTAGACAAAAATATACTTTATAATATAGCTTATTCACATACTTGTACATACGTGATCCCAGAGGGATCCAACGAATATTTTAATAAATTTTTATTAATAAAAAACTTTTCTCTTGTGTAAGGGCTCACGGCCAAGCATTTATGAAAAAATATTATTATTTCATTGCTTAAATATGTTGTTGGGGATATGGAAATACGAGAATGCACTAACTTTTTTCGTCTTTAGGTACAGGTGCCGGACAGGATCTTGATAATTTTCTTTTTTCAGAAATGAGAGGCATATACATGATATCATTTTCACAATTATTCCAGACCTGTATTATTTCAACGCGGGTTCTCTCTTCTAATTATACTAGCATTAATGGGTGATTTTTTTAGGAACCTTGCCATGGAACTGATTATAAAATGTATAAAAGGGTGTGAATTCCACCTTTAGCTTCACTAACGATAAATTATACTAATAAATCGTAAAAAATTACGCAAAACTACCTGTGATCTAACATATCTGAACATATTTTTTTTCTACTTCACTCTGAAAATATGTTTGCACTCGTCTTGCAAAACAATGTCTTGTGGCATATTTTTGAAGACTTTACACCTTTTATTCTTCTTAGCACATTTTTCTTGATTTATATCATTAGAAACAAATTCTCTAATGACCTCCCTTCACATGATAATAAAATAGCTAATGAGTTTTCTGCACGTATATCTGAAATTAATGTTAATCTCACCGCAAAAATCGAAAAAAATAAGGCACGTGGTGGAAGTATTACTGCGGAAATTGAAAGACCTTTATTAAAATGAACAAAAAGTTTAGCACAGAAGTTAGTACTAAAATTGCCAACGAATTTTCTGTACGTCTTTTTGAAGTTAATTCTACTTTCACTGCGGAGCTTGTTAGAAATAATAATGAACTTAATAAGAAACTTATTGGAGAAATCGCTAAAATCAATTCACGTAATGCTGGCTACTTTTCTGAAGCGCAGAGGATTTTATCAATGGTCAACGATATTGAAGAAGACTGCCGTAATGATTTTGGCAACATTTCATCTGAATTCAATTTGGTCAGGGCCTCTATTGAAGCTCTCTGAAATGAAATGATCTAACGTTATGCAATTGCCCAAAGGCTTCAAGTCGATTTTGATCAACTGAGTGTGGCTAACCATTCTTCTAGTAGCGAAAGTTCTTCTAGTCAATTATCTGATTCATCTCTTGAAGAAAATAGGAACTGTTTTAAACGAGTTTTGATTCGAATAAGGAAGAAGGGAAACTTTAGATTATGCATTTGAAACTGTTAGACGTAGAATTTGTGAACTTACTGGATATAAGATTAGGAAGAGTGCTGTGAAAAGTTTTTATTATGGTCAAGGGGATCCAAAATTTAATATAGTAATGACAATTATAAGTTGGGTAGATGAAAAGGAAATTACTAATAGTTTAATTAATAATAATAATAATAATAATAATAATAATGCGGAGTAGTGGGGTAGGAACTGCCATTATATGGGTTAGGACTCAGCTAATTCCTTTCTTGAAACATCCTACTACTCCATTTACTTTATTACTTTTATTTTTTACTTTGTCGGCTGGCCCTTTCTCATTTATTGCTTTACAAAAAAAATGAAAAAAATATAATAAAGATTTCACTTTGAATTTTTTAAACATGTGTGCATGTTTTATGCGTATATACATTCTCAAATATAAATTTTGTTTTCACTTATCAAGCAAAGAAATAACTTGATGCTATGACTTGCATTAAATTGTTTAAAAATTAGAATCCCTCTTTGATAGCATCATATGTTATTATTTAATAAATATGTATTGGAAATAAGTTGTGCAAAATATATGATTTATTTAATGATTTATTACATTTTATGATTTAAAATGAGAGTAATATACATTGTAGCTTGCAATGATAAAAATTCTTCATCTAGTGTGATAATGCGGTATAGTCCTATGCATCCAAATATTTAAAGTTTTAAAAATTTTTTTAATCTTCTTTCTTCCTGATGCAATTTCGGCGACTTACTACCCATGATCTCACTCAAGCCAAAATCAATAAAAAAGTAATGGCGACTCTTTAGTTCATATAGAATATTTTTCTCTGAGATATCATTGTGTAGGATATCACAATTATGTATTGACTTTAGCTGATTGACGATTAACTTTTTTTTCTCTTTAGTGAGTCTTTCTGGATCAACGTGATGGGCGCCCTCAATTAATTGTAACGCTAATGCAAAAAGATATCCGTCATAAATGTAACCATTGTAGAATAAACGTGGAATATCACGACCTAATATCAATATTGCAATAGACAAGTTAATATTATCCAAAAATATTATGAATGAAAAAAAAATTGTACCTTGACATCCTTTCAAAATAGAATATATATGAGCTTCATGCTTTAGCGTTTTTATCTCCTCTTGCTCCTTATATGCATCACAAGTCTTCCATGCTACATCTTGATTATTATAATATCCAGAAAAAACTTTTCCAAATGATCCGCCACCTATGTACTTATCTATAGTAGTAATTCCCTTGGATGAACTCGCAATTGGTATACTACTGCTTTTTGATTTTCTCTTTCTCTTCCCTAAACTAGCATAACTATCAACATCATCATTAGAGCCATCAGAGTCATCATCAGGATCGTAATCTGGGTCGTCATAATCATCAGAATCATCATCATCATCATCATCATTAGATGAATAACTGTCAAGCTCTACACCTCCTAATCGATTACCAACATTATCATTAATAGCAAGTTGGCTGATATAGTAAACGCATTCGCGTAAAGTTGGATTAGTATCATTGGATTAAACAACATGGAAAATATAAAGGGTGGTTGGATTTGTTTCTTCTCGCTTGAGAAAATATGTATCACTATAATTTGATAAAATAGCATAATGGAGGCCATTACAGGCCATTTGACCAAATATCCGCGATAGGATACGTTTCTTGAATTTAAAATTTGGATCGAATCTTCGGTCTCCAAATCTTGGATTCATTATTCCACGTCGGTTGTTATATCGATAAATTTGCCAGAAATGATAACCGCGTAAATCAAGATTGTGGCGCGTTTTCATTTCCACTGGCATCTTGGCCACTGTGTAATTATTATTGCATAAAACATAGTCAGAAGCACCCAAGAATCTGATAGGTGTTGCACTGAATGATGATCCTTGTGGAAATAACCCTTCGACAGGAAATAATGCGTTAGTATGTAAATGAGTTTTTGCATCGTCTTCGACTCTGAGAGGTTGTGCACTAGTTGGGTATATGGGGAATTATCCAGGAGAAAGATTATTTAGTCTAACAGCTCAAAAGAATCCAATCCATTCCCTCACGTTGTTTGGAAACCGTGGGTAAGCAGGCAATGTTGAAGTTGTATTAGGTATATTTTGCGGGATCCATTGGCAAGCTGGAATGGCTTGACCTAGTAATTGACCTGCTGTTTGAGCCATAATAGAAGACTATTAGAAGAGCAAGAAGAAAACTATCATTCTTTTATGAAAAATTATCAGTATATGTATAAATCATTAACTTTTTGATTCAAATTCTGAATCAGTTTTATTTGATAAAATCATAATCAGAGTCATACAATAGACCCTGTGTGACAGAAAAGTTTCACAACTAAGCCACCTTAATTTGCGCAGACGACTATTCATACTTCGCTCATAATAATAATTAGTTAGATTTTTCGTGTAATTCTAGATGAATAAAATTATATTCGAAAAAATAATAACGAATTACAAAAGCGTCGAGTTTACTCAATAAGACCTAATTCTTGAAGAAGTTCAGAAATAACTACATATGGGTCTTCGTAATACCAAACATATCTTAAAACAATCAAATTCTTCTTGCAAAGTTCTTTTTTGAGCTGATCACACATCATCTGTTTCTCAAACTCTTCCAGGTCTTTGTGAAAGTATTTTACGTGTTACTCATGTTGTTTGCCTTGTACCTCTATAGCAAATCCATACTGTGGATAGTAGATGTCGAGTTCTAGTCCTCGAGAATGTTCAGGTATTTTCAAGAAATCTGGTCTGCGGATGCTGGAAGGTGGGCCAAGAATGTTAGTTATGACTTTGCGACATAGATTTTCATGTTTATTTAAGCAATATGGGCACCATGTCTTGGAGTGCTTTATACAATTAAAACTTGAAAACCATTTATGACTCTTATTACACATCCATTGCATTAGAACACAGAGATTTATATATTCCGTAGAAAGACACATACCTCCTCTACTATGGGCGATTTCTTTAGCTTCTGAAAGACTACAGGAAAGATTGCCAGCACATTGTGTGCACCATCTTCCCATATTTTTTATTCGATAAAGGGTTGTAGACCATTCATAACCTTTGGCACATTTCCAAAGCATCGGGGTATCTGTATTAACATATTCTGTAGAAAGGCACTTACCACCTCGTTCTTGTGCAATATTATTTGCTATATCAATATTGAATCGTCATTGACGGTGCTGTGTATCATGTCTTTGGATTGGGGTACATTCTTGTTCTGGTGTAATATATTCTTGTACTGGGATAATCTTTTAGCTTGGTATAACACGTTTTCTGCTTGGCGTATTACAAGTTCAACACCAAGTTCCCTTAAGAATATCCTTTGCTGAAGCCTTCCACTTATAGCCTTCTTTACACTGCCATTCAAGAGAATCCCGTCTATTAATATACTCAGTTGCAAGGCAAAGACCTCCTTTCTTTTCTGCAAACTTCCTCATATCTTCAATTGTTCAAGTACGACGATTTTCAACTGCACACCACAGGCACTATGTTTTTTCATTCTTTACATTAGAAAGTCTTGCAGACCATAAATGATCCTTAGCACATTTTCAAAGCATTGGCATCTGACAATTGATATATCTTTCAGAGATACATTTACCTCCTCTGCTATGTGCGATCTCTTTAGCAACATCCAAAGTTAATTTTGCCATTAATATTTTACACTAAATTTCAAAAGGCCAGCGGAAAGCATAATATTATTTCATTTCGTGCTTTATTCCTCCCTTTAAACGTGATCTACTCCAATATCTTTTATTAGTTTCATTTTTTTTTACTTAGCCGGCCGGCCCTTTCTCACATATTACTTTTGGCATAGGAGATCCAAAGTTTAAAATTATTTTATGAAAAAATATAATAAAGATTTTACTTCGAATTTTTTAAACGTGTGTGTTTTTACAAATGAATATTACATTTACTTTGTATTCTACTAGCATAGCTGTTGCTGAAGGTAACTATATTTTAGCGAATTTACAGATATGAAAAAATAGCAGTGTAAACTAATGATATACAAGAAGACAGTAAAATAAATGTTCTTTTTTTTGTTACTATCTATAAAAATCACTCTTGATCGTTAGGTTCTTTGTAATTAATAAAAATATTAATTGTTTCAGCACTTTGAGAAAATGAGAGCATCACGGGCCTCAAACCAGAAGAAGATACAGAGGGTATTGTTGGACGTGATCTATTAGGAGAAGGAATTGCTCAAAGTATTTTTGAAGCAGTTCCTGTTCTTGAAGCAGTTCTAGATCCTGAGGTACTTGCAAATGATGTCGTTCTTACATTAATTGCGTTTACTTTAGCAACTGTTATCTCTCTAGAAAGAATAAATATTTAGGGTTATATCTTTTGTTCACTTAAGTAAATCCAGAAGAATATCACAAAAATAGCCATTAAGATGCAGTGTAAATACCACATTCTTTCCAAAATTCTGTAGAGAACTCTTCGTAATAATGTTCTCCAATAATGCTTCTCTTCTTTTTAACTTCCACCTTAGCTCTCTCATTAGTTTCAGCATTAGCTTATCCCTCTAGGACCACTTCTGCATTAGCTACAGCTTCTTTAAAGGCCTTAGCTGTCTATAATATCAAATCAGAGTTGAGTTAAGTAATATGATAACCATATCAAATGTTTTGGATGTACTTACATAGTAAGCTCGGGTTAGAGCTAAAAATTTCTTATTACAAGCTTCCCCAGTGAAGTAATTAGTATTATTTACTTGGTTGATTTCATTCGCAATATCTTCCCAAAAGTTTCTCTTATTACGGTTTGGGGTTTGGTGGTATTCTTCATTCCCATTTTTATGTGCATCAATAAGTATTCAGGTTTGTTTTTCGCTCCATTGTGCAGACATTATTATGTTCAAGAAAAGCTTTATGGAAAGTTTATGAAAAGTTTTATGAAAAGCAAAGAAGAAGTGAAGTAACGGACAAACTAAGAAGGGCTCTCTTTTATGTGTCATGATTTATGGGTAGGCGAGGAATAAATTAGCGTCGTAATATATCAAGGTTGAAAAATATAACAGATAATGATAAATATAATGATTAATCTAATGATTAATCTGATTAATTGAACAATAATAATGGTGGCTTAGCTACTGCGCAAAATCTGATTGACACCACAATGCTGATCTGTAACTCATCCCGTGATTTGAGTTGCGAGAAGGTTGCGAGAAAGTGCCAGGAACTGACTAGAAACTAGAAAGATCTCATGTGATACGATATACAGTACATCATGTCACAAACCAATTTAGCTGAGCCATTAAGGCACTTTGTAAGGCGCTGTGCATATGCCTATATAAATCCCAATCGAATAAAAATGAATTTGGATTTAGTGGTGTGTAGTCTCTCTAAATCGGCTACAAATTAATAAAACCGCTATAAATCATTAAAACTGCTTAATCAGCAAATATGTATAAATTTAAATCTGATATTTATTAGAGTATAATATTGCTAAATCAGCTAAAATCGTTAAAAACACTATAAAATCAATAAAATCATTATAATCTGTTATAATCTACTACAACACTATTATGGATTTAGATAGTAGAACTTATTTTAAGCTAAATCAAGTAAGCTATGGTAATATAAACTTTGAAAAATATAGAAGAATAGTTGAAGCAATATGGCCTTTAACAAAAATACGTGATCACGAAATACCAGAAATATGATACTCTCACATTCGTAATCCATTTAGAAAAATTTTAAAAGAGAACCTAGGAATCCTTTCTGGGAATGAATACATTACAATGTATGGAAAATTAATTGAAAGAAGTGATAGAGTCCATGGTCTTCCATCCAATTATATATATTGTAATGTATGTGACTCCTTAGTTTTTATATCTGAAAATTCTCGTTTAGATAATTCCTATCAAGATAGCCACTTAAAAAGATGTATTTCTGAAAATACTATTTCGAATGAACATGCAAGAAGAAATAAAATTCTCAAATCTATTGATAGAAGGGAATTTCAGATCTGGCAATATAAACAATACATATTACAAGAAGAGGCTAAAATTAATCGTCTTCGTCTAGAGCTTTTTTTCCAATCTACCTCACACTCAGAAAAGGATAAATTGGCATTGATATCATATGATTATGATACTCGTACAATTCTCTATGAAGCTTATGTGCAAGCTAAAGTGACTATAGCAGAAAATACTATGCCAAATGCTACAAAATTCGAGCCAGCTTGTATTTCACCTACCAGGCAACGTAGTGCAAGTGCATCTGAGATTAGAAATTTTTGGAACGATCAATTAAATATGCCTAATATTTCTAGCAGGACTACTTCGGGCGATCTTATTGAAGCATACTTTGATTCTGTACAGAAAAATGCAAAAAGAAAATAGACTTAGCCATTAGCTAATAAGGCGCTTCGCAATATCTTTCAACTGAATATTAGCATTATGTATCTTAATTATATTTAGTCAAACATAGCTTATACTTTATTTTTTTGCGAAATGATAGCTATATAATCTGCATGCATGATCGCCTAGTAAAATTAGTTATCACCTGCAAACGCTATGCATGATCTACCTATTCTAAGTTAGATCCTCAAATCTATAACTATTTTAATAAAGTATTTTTCGAGAAGTTCAGGAAGATCAATGAAGCGATTTTGGGGATTCTTGATTGCGAGACAATACAACTATCAGTTTGAGAATTTCTATGCAGTAGTTATCTAGTGAGCTTACAAGAATTACAAAAAAAGACCTGAATCTTTGGCAAAACACGTTTGGGAGGCAGTGAGGAATGATGGTACTCCTGACAATAAGAAGTTTTTAGATATTGTTCCTCATGGTAAAACATATCATTTCATTAATGGAAAACTAATAGAATCCAATTATATAAGTTACCAATTTTATGTAGAAAATAGGCATAACATTTATTTTGCTACTACTTAGGCAGAAGCGAAGAGAAATCAGTTATATAGACGATTATGTACTGTAGCATACATAGCTACTTTTAGAGTATTATATCAGCAAGGCTATATAGTTGTTAGAAATACAGGCTGGTCTGACATGTTAAAATGGTTACGGAATCCCAAATATTATCATATTAATAAAAAATATAACTTTAAAAATATTATCAGAATTTCAGATTGCGAGAAATATAGAGGTAAATTGACAGAAATACAAAGAATATGCTAATTCCTGCCATTAGAATTTCTATACTATATTCATGAAAAGGATATTACCGTGAATTTCTCAGATTTGGATGATAATTATGAGTTTGTGCGCCGAATTTTTCAGATTAGTCCTTGACCCAGATCCCGAATATTGTCTTAATAAAATAATATATTGTCCAGTCACAATGCATGTTGGCGTATGCGATATAAATTAGCACATTTTTGATCCTCGTTAAAGTGCATATGATGTAATAGGTGATACTCCGCAAATCATCTGTAACTCTGTGTAACTATTTGTGCGACAAATTAATTAGAAATCGATCTCCAAAAATATTTTGAATTTTTTTTTCCCTTATAACATTTGGCCAAATAATATTTAGCAGAATAGCATTTACTGATATGTATGTTTGCTTCGGAGGATGGGATATTTCTATTATATTCTAAGTAGAATAATGTCTATATAATGTTGCTGGGTCTTTCTGTGATTGAGTAAGCGAAAAAGTTCGTATATGCATTATCCCCAACACCATTCTAAATGTCAAGATCTTCAATGCACATTCTGCATGCCCTTATTCTCTAACACAAAAGTTTGGCGTAAAGGTTTGTTGCATATTCTCCTGTCTCTTCCCCAACATGAATGCAAGCCTAGAGGGAAGTAAATGGAGTCATTTAAAAGGGTAGTATAGTGAAATTATTATGCCTTGTAAATTCTTTTATTTTTACCATGCCTGCCAATTTATACACTAAAATTTATAATTTCTTGTCAAATACTGAGGAAGAGAACATTACCGTTGGGTCTGTTATTTACCAAGGAATTGAAGAAAATCCCTGGATAACTTAAAATGAGCTAAAAAGTATTATCGAGCGGGCTGTGACATTTGCAAAAAATCAATACAAACAAGGTTCTTCACGTCATACTACTCTTCTCGAAATTCTACCAGAGGTAAGATATCAAAGCTTTGAGTAAATAGAGGATTTATTGAGTGATGAATAACGCAGACAGTGATACCATTCTGAAGGAGAAAGCATAATAGACTAAATATCCTATTAGCCCACTCACAGGATTTTTTCCTCGGCAGTGTGAAGGGTAGTTAGGCTATAACTATATGCTTAGTTAAATGTGGTTATTTCAGTATCACATAAAGTCTTTATTTGAGTGTTGGAGTAGCTAACCATGTGAGAATATGGCTTCATTTTAATCTGATAGCGCATGCGCTTTTGATAATTTTTTAAATATATATATACCTGAGTTAATTAATTATATATCTGCATTAGTTCAAAATTGGCTTTAAAACAGTCTGTAGTTTACGTAATATTAGCGCGGTGAAAACAAATGGAGAAAGGCCTCTTACTTCAGATAAAATCAAAAAAAATATCAAGGCACTGAAGGATAAACTCAGAAAAATACGTCACAGCTTTACCAGCATTTGTTTTCGGATGTAAATGAAGTATCTATTTCTGACTTAACTTGGAAAGATCCTCTAGCCAACCAAGTAATTAGCGATGATTCAGATCTGGTACAGAAATTACTAGAACGGCTGAGGGAATCTTTTATGGTAAAATTTTTTTCTTGACAAAAAGTATGTGAATTTTTTTCACAGTGTCACATGATTTTTTTAATCTAAACATCATTTTAATTTATGCTATCATTAGAAACCAGTAGAGGATATAGTTCCTTCATCTCTTCCACGAATTATATGGGAAAAATGTGAAGAATTTGTAGTTAACTTTGCTGAGAGTAATATGAGCATTTTATTACAAAAACTTTCGCATAATGGGAAGTGAAAAGAATCAGATGAGGAGCTTGCAGACGTCACATCAAGAATTTTGAATTCTCTAAACGATTCATGAAATAATCCTGCATTTAGCTCTGAGTTCGCAAAATCACAAAATGAAGGTACTTATGTAACTAACGTAATAGTATCTGCTATTCAGGCCATATTAGAAGGACTTCCTTTAGGAAGGTCGTCTTATATTAGCATGTAAGTAATAATATAATTAGGAAAATTGGTATTGTGAAGACTTCTAGACTAATATTAATATTATTATCTTTTAGTGCTAAACGTCAAAGTTCAGCTAGTGTGGATAGGAAAGGCGAAAGGCGAACAGGAAGACAGCCAGATATCATGTTTGTGATAAAGCATGATGAAAAAAAATATGAGCTCATATATGTTGAGTGTTCATGCTTGTCTTGCATACTACAGAAGAAAAAAGATGATAAAATAAAGTTATGGCGTGAAGCTAATGATGGATATATTGGGCTCATAAATCATCTGAACCAGATAAAGGTGAATTCAGAATCATTGGAATGCAAGTTGCTGGACGAATAATGTGTTTAAATATTCTTATTAGGGATGTGGAAAATGTGCATCATTATTACCATCTTTACGAATCAAAAATCCTTGTATAACAATCAGACCCGTCTACTGTAACAAATTTTGTAAAGACTTTGCTAATTCTACAGAACATTCTAATAGTTAATATATCTTTACTGCTTAATGCGCCCTCTGTTAGATCCAAAAGAAATAAAGATAGTTCAAACATAGATTCCGATTAAATAGGATTATATTGTAGTAAAATTTGTATTTTATTTTTCCTATATCAATAAAGTGCCCTGATGGCCGATTATTTTTACATATTCATCTATATTTTTTTCATATAAGATAAGCATCAGATAATAAAAATTTTCTTGGCAAATTTGCGGGACTGCGCAGTCTCAGAAAACACGTGATTTTTTTTTATTTTTGAATATTAATATATACTAAATTACGCAAGCATGCAATCTAAAATAGATGATTCCAGATTGGCCAATTCATTGAAACAATACATTGCCA